GAGAAAGGGACGGTGCATATATGACTATATGAGAATGGAGGTTGCTGATTTGATGTGATGCACTAATGTACTATAGATTAAATGATTTTATTTTTAACCACGTTGGCAATGTAAACACCAAGATACTTCAATTTAAAATACAATAAAATTGATTTTTTTTAAAGGAAAAAGACAAAAAAGAACTCATATAAAACCATAGGACTCCCTCCCAATTCTTCCCATCAACTAACAAGGCCATTCTTTGTTTCCCATCAACCTCTAAAGTCATTATGTCTTCCTACACAACTAAAACTCATGAAAAAGAATCCACCAACATAATTCATGAGCCTTTGCTAGCCAACAAAACACCAATACCTTACCAACAAAAGCAACATGAACATCATCAAATCTCACAAACTCACCTTATGCTTGCTTTAAATGAAGCAAGGTTAATCACTAGATTAGCACTTCCTTTAGTCTTAACCGGCCTTCTTCTTTACTCGCGCTCCATGATTTCCATGCTCTTCCTAGGCCGAATTGGAGATCTTGCCTTAGCCGGTGGATCTCTAGCCATAGGGTTTGCCAACATAACCGGCTACTCGATTCTCTCTGGCCTTGCCATGGGAATGGAACCCATTTGTGGCCAAGCCTTTGGGGCTAAAAGATACAAGCTCCTAGGCTTAGTCATGCAAAAAACAATCCTCCTACTCCTCTTAGCATCAATACCTATTTCTTTCCTTTGGCTCAACATGAGAAAAATCTTGCTCTTTTGTCACCAAGACGAAAACATTGCTAATGAGGCTCAATCTTACATTCTTTTCACTCTTCCTGACCTCATTGCTCAATCACTCCTCCATCCAATACGAATCTACCTACGAACTCAATCCATAACACTACCCCTAACATGTTGTGCCTCTCTAGCAATCCTCCTCCACATGCCCATCAACTACTTCCTTGTTATACACCTTAACCTTGGAGCAAAAGGGGTTGCCTTAAGTGGGGTGTTAACCAATTTCAACCTAGTAGGATCACTTATCATTTACATTATTTTCTCGGGCATCTATAAAAACACTTGGTGTGCAATCACAAGCGAATGTGTTCGAGGATGGAAGACCCTCATCAACTTAGCAATCCCAAGTTGTATTTCGGTATGCTTAGAATGGTGGTGGTATGAAATCATGATTTTACTATGTGGGTTATTGTCTAATCCTCAAGCTACAGTTGCATCAATGGGAATTTTGATCCAAACTACAGCATTAATGTACATTTTCCCATCATCCCTAAGTCTAAGTGTATCAACTAGGGTGGGAAATGAATTGGGTGCAAACCAACCAAAAAGAGCAAAACTTTCAACGATTATAGGCCTCTTTTTTAGCTTAATACTTGGATTTTGTGCACTTGTTTTTACAATCATGGTAAGAAAAAAATGGGCAAGTTTTTTTACCAAAGATGTGGAAATTGTAGCACTAACTTCAATAGTTTTGCCTATAATTGGCCTTTGTGAGCTAGGAAATTGCCCACAAACTACAGGATGTGGGGTTTTAAGGGGGCTTGCTAGGCCCAAATTAGGTGCAATTGTTAACCTTGGAAGCTTTTATTTGGTGGGTATGCCTGTGGCTTTATGGTTGGGATTTAAGTTAGGATTTGGGTTCGAAGGTTTGTGGCTCGGGTTGCTAACGGCACAAGGTTCATGTGTCATTGCCATGTTTTTCGTATTGGTTCGGACGAATTGGAAGGTTCACGCCCAACGGGCTCAAGAGTTAACCTTAGATGATTGTAGTTTTGGAGCGGATAATTGTGAATTCGTGAAGTAATACATATACTAACAAAAAAAAATGCTAATGGAGCATCGAGCTAAAAAATCCGAGGTGTATTAGATAGCTTAGTTATGATATAAATCAGTCATTAGTATCATGGTATGTCACATGGAAAAAAGTTGTACCATACATTTTATTCAACATAGTATGATATTCTTAAACTAATATTATATTTATATTTATATTACGATAGAAGATATTAGGAGTAAAGTACCTAACAAATTATTCAATAGGCACGTAGGTTAGAGTCAAGAAGTAAAATTCAAGGCCTACGTCTAACGTGTATTTGGCTATTTGTGCTATACAGAGAGGGAAGTCATCAGTAATGGAACTTTGATATCTTTGTACACTTCATTGAAAATGAATACTCGTCTATACATTTTTATTGTTCCCACAATTTTCAATTATTCAAATAGGGAATTTGTTGTTGTTGTTAAATTAGTTTGTATTGTACTTCCTTCATTCTTTTGTACATGACCCGTTTTGACTTTTACACTATTTATCACCGCTCCTTTGACCGTCTTTTGTAAATATTATATGAGGAAAAACATATTCACGTAGGATCTTTTTGAATTCATCTCAATAAGTACTATCACAATATATAATTTTTATAATTTTTACTTATGTAGAATTAAAGTTAGTGATCGTTAAAGTTTTACATTGACAAGCGTAATAAAAGAGACAGGCCATATAAAAAATAACAGAGGAAGTATGTTTTTTTTACAAAATTGAAAAAAAAAATGGGAAGAAGTGTTTCCTTTCACCAAAATATTAATTACTATATACTTATTTAGATGTTGAGAACATAATTTTATTTTATTTTTTTGACAGAATAGAATTTCTTATTCAAACAAGTGATTATGTAATCGATAATTATCTCTTAGACTACAATATGTCGATCTTACAAATGTAAGACAATTTCATATTGTTGGTACGGACTACGAAGTAGTATCTAAGAAACCTTAACTTAAGAGTACTCCTACAAAAAAAACAAAAAAAACAAATACACACTCGTCTCTCCTCCTTTTCTCTAGGGTTTCTCTAAAATAAAATCTTGACCGTTTAGGTCGGAAATAGTATAATTTGTTCGGAAATTAGACTATTTTCGACTCTTTTTACTTAATTTTCTTTAGTTTTGCAATTTAAGTCTCAATAAATCTACACTAGACTCCAAAGCATGAAGCACTATAATTAACATTTAATAGATTTTACATAAACTATTGGGTGCGAGTAGTCGCACCCAATAGTTTGTGTGGCCATTCTCCATTTTACTCTGTTTTACTTTTCTTCTCTCTAAAAATCAGAAAAGTGAATCTTTCTCTCTCCTCTTTCTTCTTTCTTCCACCAATTTACTATTTATTTGGAGGAGATTTGCAATTTCGCACCACCAATTGTTGCGATTTGCAATTTGTGGTTGGAGATGGTGCTACAATTGGGTGATTTTGGGGAGGTGCAGCTCAGGAAGATCGAAGTCGAACTGATTGTTGCGATTTACAATTTGTGGTTGCAGGTGAGTGTTGTGGGGATGCGGGTTTGGTGGCCAAAAATTAAGGGGTTGGTGGTCGATTGGTTGGTGGCATGGGTTCAGTGGTTTGTGGGTGTGGTGGCTTGGGTTCGGTGGTTGAAGGAGAAGGAGTGGGAGTGGCTTGGGCTTGGTGGCTGAAGGAGACAGAAAATCTTGCGTGGACCTGGTCCACAATAATATAATTGTGAACCCAAGGTTTATACAACATAACTGACATTATATTCAACATAGTGACCCCTAATTTTAATATAGTAACCTTATTTACAACATAGTAACCTTTTTAAAAACTTGTGTGACCTTTAATGCTATAATGAACTTAAAGTACGACATTATATTGAATAGTGACCTAATTTTAACATAGTGATCTTTATTATTCATATTGACCATTGTATTAAAATTTTATTAAGAAAATTAACTTCTTATAATTTTAATAATGTCACACTAACTTTTATTTCAACATAATAACCTTTATTTCAACATAATAACCTTTATAATAATATAGTGACTTTTTTTTTTTTTATTAATAAAACAATCATATTGTCTATAATATTGATGGTTCACAATAAATTAGTGTGAACCAAGTCCATTTAAGAATTTGTATGAAGGAGAAGGAGTGGGAGTGGCTAGCTTGGGTTTGGTAGTTGAAGAAGGAGGGTGGTTGTTTGCTGTTGCTAGTGGTTTGATGGTGGCTGGGTGCTTCTTTTGTTGGTGGCGAGAGGAGGAACAAAGGAGTAGGTTGGGCGTGAGGAATGATGGAGAAGGCTGGCGACAGCCTGGCGTAAAGAACAAAGTAGAAGAAGGAGAATGACTTATAAGGCAAAAAAATTAACATATAAGCTAATAAATGTCTTATATTAGATATTAATAATAAAAAAAGAAGGGTTTTTCTACATTATAACCATGTAACTTTCCGTTTTCTACGATGTGCCCCCCTTTTTGAGAATCGACATTGTAACCCCAAAATACATTCAGTGTCTATACGGTAACCTTGCCGTTAACAAATTCCGTTAGTGGAGCCCACTCACCACTTAATGATAATTTTTTATCGATTTGCATATTGAAAATGGTTCTGTTAAAGGTTTAATTTTGGGGCTATTTTGGCCTTAAAAGGTCCAAATTGTGCTCAAATTTAGCAAAAAAAAAAAACATAAATACCTCATTTGGCGTATTTAAAAATATCTCGATTTGCGTATTTACATATTTTATACGCAAAACAAGGTATTTATGTTATTTTTTGTTAAATCTTAGCTCAATTTGGACCCTTAAAAGCCAAAATAGCCTCCAAAACCTTTAATAGAATAATTTTTAACACACAAATCGATAAAAATATAATTATTAAGTGGAGAGTAGGTCCCACTAACACTACTACAAAATTAGCCAAAGAGACCCGTCCATATTAGCCAAAGAGACTGCCTTAGAGGCGGACTCTAGCTCAGCGGTCTCTTTGGCAAAGCGACTGCTTTATATAGGCGGTCTTAAAATTGAGAAAACTAAGACCGCTTATCTAAGATAGAGAGTCTCTTTTTTTAGAAAATTGAGACCGCCTATTTAATATAGGTAGTCTCTTTTTTGTGAAAGTTGAGACTGCCTATTTAACTTAACAGGTCTCTTATGTCGCATTTAAAATAAAAAAAATAGCATATTTAATTTGATTTATGCGATATTTAAATCAATAACACTAAAAGAGAATAACAATGCCACATTAATGTTTAACAATGATACAAAGAAATTTAACGAACTTTAATTAAATTCCACTAAAATTATAATACATCAAATCTTGTAATCTATGCGTAAAATTATGTCAAACATGTCTCTTAAGTACTCCAATTTCTTCCTCTCTCCTTTGTTTCAAGATCTTGTGTGAAAACTAGCATATCTGTCAAAGATAAAAGCACACAATAAGCAATCATAATAATTGAGAATAACCACAAAATTAAACATTCATTTAGAAAACTTAACTGAAAAAATAAACTAATAAAATAAAAAGATTAACTCATTGATAAAAAACAAAAAACAAAAAAAAAAACCTCCCCTGCCATTGAACAACCCCCTCCCCTAATCCCCCTGCCATCAGCCCCGCCGGCGACCCCGTTCGATCTAACCCCAGCAGTTCAAACCCATATCTCTTCAATTTCAATCTTCATCTTCTTCCCTCAAGACAACAATCCAAACAGAAATTTATTTACTTGTTCACCATATCACAACAACTTAGAAATTAAGAAGCCTAACATTCACTGAAATCCACAAAATCAATTATTCGAAAATAAACACAAACAAAACAATCCAAAAATCGAAAAAAAAAAATTGATCAAACATTCAAATCCTCAGATCCGGCGATAAAAATTCAATTTTCATACTCCATTCTAACATATAACAACCAAAACCATACAACACATTATCAACCAGACTCAATAATCAAATCAAAATTCTAGCAACGAAATTACAAGTTAAAATTCTTAGTAATCAAATCATAACAAATAGTTCAATATTCAATCGACCTTAGAAGAACCCTAAATCAAACAAAATCATCGATTTAACACTAGATTGTAAAATTGGAATTCGACGATTAAAAAACCAAAACAAAAAAATAGAAATAAAATATAAAAAATCAAACCTTAGAAGCTGCTTCAATGGAGGAGAGAAAGCTGAAAAGCCGCTTCAATGGAGAATTTCAGAGCATACTAGATTCAAGAACACAATTAAGAGAAAACGTACGTTTTTTTCCCCTGTATTTTCTGTGTGTATTGCCTTAATCGCTCTTTTGAGATCTTGAATTTGACGATCTGGGAAAGTTGAAGGTGAAGGAAATTCGTTTAAAGGAAAGGGAGGAGAGAGAAGGAGAGGAAAAGGAAGATGAAGGAGATGGAGATTGAAAGTTGGAGGCGGAATTAGCATAGTGAAGTGTTAGCTTAGGGTTCCATTCATTTACTACCTCCGTTACATATTAGTTGCAACTTTGGAATATTTTATCTCTCACAAATAATACCCAAAGTTGCAACTAATATGTAACGGAGGTATTAATTTTTTTTGAGTAAGGGAGATCGGTTAACTCACATACTGGTCTCTCCGGTTTTTTATTTCAAAAAAAAAATAATTAAAAAAAAAACTAAGAGAGACCGGTTATGTTGCATAGAGGTCTCTCCCTTTTCAATTTTAAAATAAAAATAGTTACGAGAGACCGGTTAAGTTACATATAGATCTACCCCTGTTATATTTAAAAAAAAAAAACTATGAGAGACCTGTTATCTACAATAAATGGTCTCCGTTAAATTTTTATCTCATAACACAATATCAAAGAGACCGGTTATTTGTAACATTGGGTCTCTTAAAACAAAGAGACCGGTTATTTGATTAACGGGTCTCTTATTTCGGGTCTTTTTGAGCATTTTTGTAGTAGTGTAACGAAATTTGTTACGGCGGGATAACGACAAGGTTACCGTACTGAAAGTAAATATATTTTGGGGTTACAATGTAGATTTCTAAAAAATGGGGGCACACCGTAGAAAACGGAAAGTTAAAGGGTTATAATGTAGAAAAACCCTAAAAAAAATATGTACCAGCTAATAAAAAGAACCTATTAGAGTATCAGCCAACAAACATATATATTTGCCAATAAAAGGTACTTATCAGCTAAGAGATGGAACATATCAGCCAACAAATGAAGTATATCAGCCAACCGAATAATAAAATCAGCAAACAAAAGTAACATGTAAGCCAACAAAAGAAATATATTAGCCAACAAAAGATGCATATCAGCCAACAAGAGGAGTATATATATTAGTCAACAAAAGGTACTTATCAGCCAATAAAAGGAACATATCAGCCAACAAAAGGATTAAATCAACAAACAAAAGCAACAGGTAAGCCAACAAAATGATACATATAAGCCACAATTAAAATATATATATCAGCCAACAAAATAGATATACTCCGAATTTTTTTTGAAAGACAACAATATAGATATATAAGCCAACTAAAGAAACATATAATAAGCCAAATGATGTCTGATATCAATCAAACTTATCAAAATTTTTTAAAAAATATATATCAGTCAACAAAAAGAATATATTAGCCAACACAAATAAAGCATATCAGCGAACACATAAAACATATCAACCATCAAATAAATACATATCAAGCCAAGCCAGCCGCTCAGAATTTCGTATTTCTTTTATTACATATCAACCATCAATAGGTTCTCTAGATTTTAATAAAAGTATACTTTGCTTTTTTAAAATTGTTGGAATCTATTTGAACGAGAGAGTATGAGTAGTGTCTTACCTTTAAATCTTTAATTAGCCCCATAATTAATAGATTACTTACCTTCTTTACAAAACATTATTAAATTAGCTATAATGTTTTTAATTGGATATCATGCTTAATAAATTATGAAAAATAATATAACTTTCAGACTTCAAAGATACTAATTACATTAGCTTATATAATCATTCATTGATATTATTTAATTATATATAAATTATTAAAAATATTAGATGAAACTATTGACAAATTTTATAATCTATTAATCATTACTAAAACAAAACGTGCTGATGTCATTAATTCCTTAAAGTGTCATACGTGTCGAATTGTCATTACAAAATTTCCCTCCAAATTTACTTATGATGTCATCAATTTATTTATTTTTATAATTTTTTTTACCCTTTTCTTTTACTTGCTAGATTTTAGGATTAATTAGGTTTAAAACTAAAAATATCATCAATATTGTTGTATATTCATTACTAATTTATCTAACCATCAGACAATTTTATATAAATATAATAATACAATAATAAATAATAAACATTTTTTTTAAAAAAAAAAAACTATGTTGTTTTTTTAATATTTATATACCAATATATTTATTTATTTTAATTTTTTATTATTTATTACTCTGTATTATTATTTTTTAAAGCAAGCCAAGTTATTTTAAAATTTTATCAACAACAAAAATATAAAAAAAATATGGAAAAAATACTTATCACCAGCGTGCAACGTACGGGAATTATACTAGTACATTTATAATACAAAATACATAAAATATAACAGTAAATGGACAAATTTCCTGATTTTTGCGTCTTTTTTTCATAATTAATGATAATATTGATTTTAAAATTGTATACCTCTGTTTTAATTATTATCTCATATCAAACAATTTAACTTCATTTTAATTAGTATCTCAATGTAATAAAAAAATAAAAAAAATAAAAAGTTAATTATTATAATTTGTGATTCAAAATCTAATTCTCTCTTATTGTGTCATACCACCCTTATAAGCACTGGATCTACGTCCTATTATTACACAAGTTAACTCATCCCTATTATTTTCGTTATAACAAACTTTAACTTTTACACAATCAGTATTTAATTTTCTTATATTACAATAAATGGTAACCACTTTAAGTGATCAGTATTAATAGCCTTTTCATATTTAGTAGTTCTTAACTGGTTGCTTAATTCTGAGGGTGAGCAGAAATTCCGGGTACCCGGTATTGGAATTGGAATCGGTAAGGAACCAGCATGTCCGAAATCAAAATTGGACCCGGTGGTTCCAATTCCGGGTAATACATTAAGGAACCGGTTGTAACCGGTTCCAATTCCAATTCTCAACATTTTGGACCCGGAACCGGTTGGGTACCCAGTTACCCAATAATTATTAAACTAAACGTATTTAAAGAACAAACTTATGTTAGAATGTATTTAGATATTAACATTAAAAAAAATATTATAATAATACTAAACATAGAAAAAATAGCTTTATGCATATGTAAATATTATTATTAAACGCTAAAAATGAAAATGGATCAAAATATTGTATTAAAATTTAACAATTGTGTACATTAGTGGGTATCCGGAACCGAAACCGGTACCCGGTGGTTCCAATACCAATTCCTAAATTTTAGGATCCTGTTGAAGTGATTCCAATTTCAATTCCAATTCTAGATTTTAGGAGCCAGTATCAACCAATTTCAAGTCCGATTTCTAAAATTTTGATCGGATACTCGATTTGCTCATCCCTACTTAATTCTATAACCCGAACTCGAACTCTAAACCAATGAGGGAAGAAAATCTTGTGCGCTGCTTCTTCTCTACTTGCTATATGCTCGAGTTTGTGTTTTTTCACATAAATCTTTACTTCTACAAACTAGCTAAATGATAGTTTGCAAATCAATTTTGTTTGATACCTTTCAAGTTATAATTAACATTACCCAATTTTTTATGTTACTATATATCTGAAATAATTAGGCGTGGTTTAGTGGTATAAGGAATTTCTTATATATATATATATATATATATATATATATATATATATATATATATATATATATATATATATATATATAATGGTTAGTTTCTCTTCTATTTCATTAATCAAAAGTCTAATTTTAACTCAATTGCATAGGGGTCTCCTTAATAATTGAGATGGCTCTAACACTAGTTTTATGGAACCTTTTGTGAGACACAACAACAAAAATTAATTTTTTGGAATCATATAATATAAAATATAAACGATTACTCAAGAACACAAACATTTTTCATTTCAAAATTGTATAGCTGGGGATGGAAGTTAATTGAAGCACCATTATTTAGAGGAAGATTACTTGCATTTACTCAACTTGTTCGTAAATATGAGTCTCGGTGTCAATTTATAAGTCAATCCCCTAAGCTTAAAAACATCCTAAATGTAGAATGTTCTAATCTTCTTACTAAAAGTGTTCTAGACAATATGAGTAACTCTGAAGAACAGTCTACACACATTCCATAATCATGTACATGAATATTTTAGGGTACACTTAGCTAGAATAATAGAAAATAGAGGTGATATTTAAAAAAAAAGAAAAAAAATTATCGGGGTTGTGAATAAAATGTAGAAATACTTTTTTTTTTTTTTTTTTTTTTTTTGAAAAGAAAGATTGGCTATATCATTATGGCCTAATTGTATTTGTACCTAGCATTAGATTAAAATTGTCATCCCCAGCAAATTCCAAGCCATTAGTCATTGGAAACTAGGAAAAAACCAAAGAAAATGAAAATAAGTTGCTAGCCATTTTTCATGTTTTAAGGCTTTATTATGGCTAAGCTCATAAATTGTGTTGGGCCTTAAAAGTTTAAAGACTTGCCAGTTATGCTTTGTCATGTAGCTTAAGGCCCATTACTGATAAGTCCTTTTGCAGTTTTGCGTCAATTCTTTTTTAGGCCACAGACGAAATATCGAACGCTTCTGTTTCATTTCAACTTTATTCTATTAGTTATCAAATTCTTATAAAGTTTAAATAAAGAGTCAAATATGAAGAGTCTCATGAAATGTTTATATACAGGATATCATTCTAAAGTCTCATGAAATGTTATTTTGCATTACAAGCTTAATGATACATGGAATTAACTTGTTACAATTTTTGTTCATTCCCATGGGATTTATCATAATTTCTCCATGATGAATTTTTTTTTTTTTTGAAGAAAACAAGAGTAAAAAATCAAATGTATACTATATACTAAAATAATCATCAAATAGGACATTTGATAAAATTTTGTGGAAAATTTTAACTTTAAAATGCTATTTATTAATTTTATTCTATGAAAAAAACTAGAATTCTTTAGTGTTTTTTCTGTGTGCCTGGTCACATCGTATGACTAGGGTTATTTATATAGGGGGAACTCATCCGGTCAAAGATTATTCATTTTTAGGGTTACTCAGTCGGTTAGCGCGTTTTCCGTGTTAGCGTAACCCCTGACCAACCGAGTAACCCTTGATCGACCAAGTAACCCCTGCCCAACTGAGTAACCCCTGAATAAGTATCCTTGGCTAAACGATGTAGTCAGTCATATATAAAAATTTGTGAAATTTTTTTAATATATTTTTTTAATATATACAATCTAACACATAATTTTAAAGGTAGATATTATAAATAAATTCGAATTTCAAAAAAAAATTATATAAGTCATTTAAT